GTTGGCACATGCCTTTAATCCCAATACATGGTTGGCAGAGGCTGGAGGATCTCAATGAACTTTTGTTTAATTAAAAATTTTATTTTATGTATATGGGTGTTTTGCCTGCATTTATATCTGTGCACCATATGCATTCCTGGTGCCAGTGAAGGCCAGGCGAGGGCATTGGATCCCCTGGAGCTGGGTTTACAGACAGTGGTGAGCCACTACCATATGGATTCTGGGATTCAAACCCTGGTGAAGAAGAGCGGCAAGTACTCTCCAATGCTGTGGAACAATCTCTCTGTACACTGTGAAGATGAGCCAGTCTGGTTGGTTTAATAAAAAACTGAAAGGCCAATAGCTAGGCAGAATTTCCAGGCACAGAGAGAGGATGTTGGGAAGAAGCAAGGGAGATGCCAGGGGATGCAGAGCAAGCAGGCGGGTACTATGGAGATGAGGTCATTAAAGTCAAAGGCAGAAAGTAAATTTGTAGAAATGGGTTGATTTAAGTTATAACTGCTAGTCAGAAATGATGGAGGAGGGTCATCTGTCTATCTGTTGCTTTCATTGGTTAATTAATAAAGAAAGCTGCTTGGCCTGATAGGGCAGAATTTAGATAGGTGGAGTAGACCGAATAGAATGCTGGGAAGAAGGGAAGTGAGCAGACACTACAGCTCTCCTGTCCAAGATGGACGCAGGTTAAGATCCTCCCTGGTAAGGCACCACCTCGTGGTGCTACACAGATTTTTAGAAATGAGTTAAGCAAGATATGAGAATTAGCCAAGAAGAGGCTAGAACTAATGGGCCAAGCAGTGTTGAAAAGAATACAGTTTCCGTGTAATTATTTCAGGTAAAGTTAGCCAGTGGCTGCGAGCCATGCGTGACAGGAAGCGGCCCACAGCTCCTTCTACACAGAAACAAGCCTAAGCCGTCAGTCAAACGTCCACAATTAATAATAAGTCTCTGTGTCATTATCGGGGAGCCAGCAGTCCCAATGAAGAAGTCCAGCTACACTCCAGCCCTTCCGTAAACTCTATGATGCAGAGGTGAGCACTGTGGTAAGACAGTCATGAATTCGGGGAAGAGCGCTCAAGCTCGGGATTCTGGCTCTGGATAGATAGAAACACGGAAGTCAGCAAGTGAAAGATGCTAACCCCGAGATGGATGAAGAAAGGGTGTAGGCACCCCTTAACCTTAGAGCATGACTCTAAGTCTTTGGGATTTACCTCTGACAAGGAAAGAGCTGGATACAAACTTACAACTGTTCTCACACCTGCTTCCTCCAGTCCCTTGGTAGCCTCCAGCCCTTCCAGCGCTGCTTAGGCTGTTTTCTTCTATGTAAAATGATTCCATGGTCTCCCACTTCCGGTCTCCTGCTGAATGAAGCCTGACTCCTTGCAACACAACAACAGGAGTGAGTCACTGGGCGGGGTGGATGGCTGTCTCTCAGTCCTGGAGTGCAGAAAACACATCAAAAAACCAAGCCACCACTGTGGCAGATTACACCTCTAATCCTTGTGCTCTGGAGGCCACACCGTGAATTCTCAGCCACCCTGGGTTACACAGTGAGACCCTGTGAGTTTGAGGCAGGGGAGCAACCTGTGCTACCAAGATTTCTCCCCTGGGTTATCACATCCTCTAAGCTTGATACCTCCCAGTCACCTCAGGATGCTGGTTGACACTAAGCAGAACAGAGGGCTAGCCTTGAAGTTCCAAATCCTGGTCCTTGTGGGCCAGGTCTCCTGTCTCTTACAGCAGGGAACATCTCCACCCACTGGCTAACAGGACCTCCACGTTATACCCTATAGCAGGGTGAGCCGAGATGTCTCATGAGCTGTGGAGAAAAGGTCCAGAGAGACACTTTGGAAGGGGAACAGCTGTCCCTAGTTAAGGCTGGCTCCTAGCTGGCCCCACGCTTTCCAGGTTCTGCTCTGGCCCTTTATATCATACAAGGGGCATAGCACCCCAGGCAATTCTCTCTCCTCCAGCCCTCAGCTATCTCTGGAGTGTGTGGGGTGCACAGCATGACCCTGGAGAGAAGCCGGGGCACCATGGATTAGACAGGTATAGATAGATGTAGACAGGTCTTGGTGAGGCTGGATGATGGGGTTGGGGAAGGAGGAACCTCTGGAGTTCAGGATGAGATATGGTATGAAGAGGGGTCCACAAGAATCTGGCCCCCTGGTGGGCCTAGTGATGCCTATTTCCACAGCCTGTGTCTGGGGGAGGTCTTCACTGACCAGCACCCCTCCTGCTGAGTGTCGGATGAACCCTGTGTGCAGAATGACCGCCACCACAGTTTCTTTCTGAAGTCTCCTTTCCAAATGTGCCCCTCGGGTGGCTGTTTCCCAAAGCCCTTGCTGCCATGGCTGAGGTCTGTGTCAGCTGCTCCACCTGAACATCCCTCCTTCCCCACAAGCTTGTCTTTCCAGGCCACCACATGCATAAGGCACTGAGAATGCTGTTGTGTTTATCTATGTTGTTCTATTATCAATAAAAACCTGGGAGTCAGATATTGGGGTGAAAACCTGATAGAGCAAAGAAACAGAGGAGGAGTGACCAGCTGACCTCCTTCCCCCCCACCCTTGTTTTTTTTTTACCTGAGACCCAGCCCAGCTTGTCTCTCTCCACATGTTCCAGACCAAAAAGACCGAGAGTCTCAAGTGTAGGCGGATTTTCCGTCAGGACCATTGATTCCCAAATTGCTGTGGAACAATCTTTCCATGGTTCTCTCTCCCCCTTCCCCTATCTTGGCCTCTTCTCTCTGTCACCAGCCTCCTCAGAGGTCCTCTCTTTGGAGACTGGGGGCCTCTTCTGCCTCAGCCACTTGCTTTTCCCCACCCCACCCCCCAGAACATTCTTCCCTAGCTCTTACAATCTTCTCCGTGTTATTTCTTCAGAAAGGCCTGCCCCTCCTTTAGCCTCTCCATCCTTGTCTTAGTTGGAGTTACTCTTGCTGTGATGAAACGCCATGACCAAAAGCACCTTGGGGAGGAAAGGGTTTATTTGACTTACATTTCCACATCACAGTTTATCATCACAAGAAATTAGAGCAAGAACTAAACAGGTCATGGACCTGGAGAAAGGAACTAATGCGGAAGCCATGGAGGCATACTGCTTGCTGGTTGTGGCTTGTTCAACCTGCTTTCTTTTTTTCTTATATTCTCTCTCTCTCTCTCTCTCTCTCTCTCTCTCGTTGTTTTGGGATTTTGTTTGTTTGTTTGTTTTGAGATAGGGTTTCTCTGTGTAAGTCCTAGAACTTCCTCTGCAGATCAGGCTGGCCTTGAACTCACAGAGCTCCATCTGCCTCTGTTTCCTGAGTGCTGGGATTGAAGGTGTGTACCACCACCACTTGCTTCACTTGCTTATACCACCCAGGACCACCAGCCCAGGGTTGGTTCCACTCGCAATAGGCTGGGCCCACCCATATCAACCACTAATCAAAACTGCTCTACAGGCTTGCCTGCAGCACATTCTTAATCTTATGTAGGTATGTAGGCATTTTCTCAGCTGAGGTTCCCTCCTCTCAGATTATGCTACTTGTGTCAAATTGACTAAAAAAACTAGACAACACAATCCCCTGCCCAGTGTTTCTTGTGGGGAGTATAGGAATAGTGGGCTCTAGTTGGAAGAGAAAGAGAGCTAATGTAGGCTCATGTTCTGCAAGAGCTGGGCCAACCACAGTCTTCCCTGCTTTGAACTGGCTCATCATGATGCCTCCCGCTAGTCTGGAAGCGCCCTTGATAGGCAGATAGTCCTTGATATTCTGAAAGTCTAGAACATCACCAGTGCTGCTCGTACACAAATCTTGCAGGGTTTGTTGGGGGGGGGGGGATTTGCTTGTTTTGATCTTGCTTTGTTTGCTTTCAGCCTATAACAACTGGTATTCCAAAGAGGTCTCCCATCCAAGTACTAAGTATTGATTTGCTTCCAAATCAGATGAGATTGGATGTGTTCAGGGTGGTATGTTGTCAGCTGTCTGTCCTGAGACAAGGCCATAATGGCCTCAGATTCACTGTATAGCTGTGTTGGCTGGGTTTTTTGATACAAGCTTGATTCGTCTGAGAGGAGGAAAACTCAATTGAGAAGATGCCTCCATAAGATTGGCTTGTCGGCAAGTCTGTGGGGCATCTTATCAATAACTGTTGATAACACACACACAATGACTGACTATTACCTGGAAGTATAAGATGAAATTAACCTTTTCCTCCCCAATTGCTTTTGGTCCTAGTCTAAATCACAGCAATAGAAACCCTACCTAAGTCAGTAGCTAAAATTGACAGTCCTGCCTCAGTTTCCCAAGTGTTAGGCACTCCCATGCCTGGCTTGCTTGTTTGTCCAAGATGAGGTCTCTTGTAGCCCTGTGGAGCTTTATTGTGAATACCCCTGCCTATAGCTCATTTGAGCTCTTGTGATTTCAAGACAAGAAGAGACCACTGAATTGCTTGCCCATGGGTAGTGCCCATGGGCAGTAACTGACAGCATCTTTCTTACTTGTGATGAGCTGCCCTGGGAGGGAGAGCTGGCATAGGTACCAATGTAACTTCATCAATGCCTGTGGATGCCAGGTCCAAAAATACTACCTTGACACATACTTGCTAGAGCCTTTTCTCACTGACAAAGGGACTGAAGGAATTTCCTCCTTCCACAATGGTCTTGTCACTTGGCATCTGTCCATGGGGCTGGTAGCCCTGACATTCTGGATACCAGCCTGGCCAACTTGGATGGAGATACATTCATATATGGTGGCTATAGATTAGGCTGTGGTTGTTTGGAAAAGAAATGGCTCTCAAAGTGAATGGCACTATTAGGAGGTGTATCTTTGTTGAAGTAATGTTGTAGAATATTATTTTAAGGTGTGTTACATTTGTCTATGCTGTGGAACATTTGTATAATGTTGCAAAGATGGGTGACATTCTTTCTCTTATGTTGCATTTGTTTAACTCTGTGAAGCTGTGTTGCTTTGCCTATCTAAAACACCTGATTGGTCTAATAAAGAGCTGAATGGCCAATAGTAAGGCAGGAGAAAGGATAGGCAGGGCTGACAGGCAGAGAGAATAAATAGAAGGAGAACTGGGGGAGGTAGACGGAAGAGGAGCATGAGAACAAGGAGAGAGGATGCTAAGGGCCCAGCCACCCAGCCAGTCAGGGGGTAAGAGTGAAAATAAGATTACAGAAGTAAGAAAAGGAAAGAGTCCAGAGGTAAAAGGTAGATGGGTTAATTTAAGAAAAGCTGACTAGAAACAAAGTCAAGCTAAGGCTAGGCACGTATAAGAAAGAATTAAGTCTCTGTGTGTGGTTTGGGAACTGGGTGGCGAGTCCCCCAAAGAGTAAGAAGAGTAAAACAACTAATAAAAAAATTTTTTAAAAAGTTAAAAAACAAAAAACAAAACAAAACAAAAAGAGTAAAACAACCAATAATAGCATTTTGTCATTCCAGCGTGGGGCTAGAGTCAAAGAAAATCCAACAGCAGAGTAGATATGGCCTTTTGGAGGAAGTGTGTCACTGTAGAGGTCGGCTTTGAGGTCTCACTTATCCAAGCTACTCCCAGTGAGATAGATCACTTCCTGTTACCTCCACAAGATGGAGGGCTCTCAGCCCCTTCTCTGCCACCACCATGTCTGCCTGCATGCCACCATGATGATAATGAACTAAACCTCTGAAAATGTGAGCCACCCCAATTCAATGTTTTCCTTTACAAGAGTTGCCATGGTTACGGTGTCTCTTCACAGCAATAGAAACCCTGACTAAGACAAAGGCCAAGGCTACAGGAACAGATACCAGGTGCTGGTTACTGTCCTCGGCAAGCTCGAAATAGAGGTCAGGTAACCACGATCCAGGATGTTACCTCCAAAGTTTCTTTTCTTGTTCAGAGATTACACTTAGTAATAGACAAACGCATCCTGGGGACTTGTATTTGCACAGGGTTTCTGCATCCCTAACATCACAGGTCTATTCTCAGGCTTTCCCTGAACTACTGTGTTGTTTGTTTTTATTTCAAACGGTTTTATTTAAATGCCAAAGACATATATTATAGATCGGGAA